AATGCGGCTTTTGATAAACAGAGGCGCGCTATTTATAACCTAATCGCAGCGTGTGTACATATGTAAATACATACATACGTACATATGTTGATTGCAGTTAATGTGGATCTGTTTCTATTTTAAATTTGTAATGATTTTGTATATTCAATTCAACAAAAGCAAAACGAATACTTCATGTATGTATGTATATACATTTACTCCATTATGTATAGTATATGCACTTAGAAAAAATAAATCATATCGTCCTTGTTTCAATTTAAAACACATACATATGATATGTCGCCAAACGACCTGTTGTTTAGTTCAAAGAGTTTTTTGAGATTTTTTCGTCTGAATATGATTTCGTTCTGTACTTTATTGATACTTTTTCGTAATTAAGAAAAATCAAAATTTATATTTTGCGTTTAACAGCATTCGAACCCGAGTCTTCCCGAAAGTTAACAAATAGTAACAAGTATCTCTGCGCCCTTAGCTACAACCACAACATGTAAATGTGTTTTCAAATGTTCAGTTTGAATTAAATTTCTTTCAAGCGCTCAAACAATTTTATATTAAGTTTTTTCAATAAATATCTTTTCTGTTCAAAATTTCAAATCTTTAAATCTCAGTAAGCTGTAGAAAAAAAGAATGGTATAAAATAAAAATAAAAATAGGGCTTTCGCTTACATTCTCATTGAGTTCTTTTCACTTAGAAGTATGTAAATTTGTAAAATTTTGGAAAAACCCTTTTTTTCTTAGTGTGTGATTTCGTTTTTGACTTGGATATGCTCTTAACCATACCACGTATTCTACGTTTAAATATAGCGGCTGTATCTCCGATACAGCCTGCAGACCAAGACGAAGGCGCTGGACTGTTCCTTTTTAACATTGAGATTTGGCTAACTTTCAATTTTTTTACTGAAACCGGTGGTGAACACTCAAAAAACGGCACAACATGAATGAAAAAAATGGAATATATTTGAAGTTAAGCGGAGTAGAGGAGTAAATTTCAATTTCTTCAAAAACCGTAGTAAATCTTATCTGATCTTAGTTGAGTCCAAACACTAGTAAGGAACGAATTCTTTACATTTTAACGCTAATGACACACAGATGGCGGGCAAACACAGGGTTGTATCAGACTTTCGACGTGGTTTCGAGTTCGTTAGCTTTTAACCATCTCAGTGAAATGGTTAAGTGCTGTCATTTTTATATGGCGAAAATACGCTAAATCAAGTGGGTTATCGGGATAACCAACTCAATAGCCATAACTACGTGGTTAGCTCCGGTGGGGACATGGTATAAGAATGCTTTATTTCAAAAATATTTTTAAAGGGAGTTGCCACCTCTTTTTAAATTCAAAGTAGTATTTAATTAGAAAAACGATTTTTCAGATTTCTTTATTCCTAAGCAAAAGTACTACAGATAACCAAATACAACACAATCGGAACACAATTTTTAATTTTTGCCTATTTTATAATGGGCTCTTCCACTGTGCGGCGCATAGATATGGACATTAAAATGAGTGCATATGAATGTAATATTAAAATTCATAAAAAATGCACTACTCCCTATAAAAAAAATGCTGATTGAATAACAAAATACTTAAGTATTTTTTTTTAAATAAAAAACGATTTAGCTGACCCATAATAACAAAAAAATGTATATTTATTACTTTTTTATTTGCCCCAAATTTGCAAAAAAACGGCCTACCCATATTAGCCTAGTCACATATCCAGGCATATTTGGAAGGTGTGTAATAATGTTAGCATTGTTTGAATGCTTAATTGTTTTTTTGACTAAAGCGTCGCATACAAACAATAATCGATGGCCCATTCTTTAGCATTCGAGTGTGTATGCAAGTAAATACTACTCGTATCATCAATTGAATACTCGTACAAGTGCTACTTTATGTTCAACAATAATTGATTGATTTGGGAGCGTTTTCGTTTTCGTTTTCGTTTTCAATTTCATTGTCATATTCGCATTGCAAAAGTACAATAACAAAAGTAAACAAACAATAAAACAACAACAACAACTACAATAGCAAACAATTGAAATATTTCTATTGTGCGTTTTGTGAGTAGTGGGGGCCAGAGCACACCCGCCGCTTTTTGTTTGTTATCTTTCGAGTTATCAAATTTAATGACGTGCATACATTTAACGGTGACACATGAAAGTGAGTAGTAGTTCTGCTTTTCAAAGAGTGTATTATTACTACTTGACTATGTACGTACATACATACATACATACATACATATGTACAAATGCAAAAAAAACTAAATGATTAAAAAGTAAATAAGTAAACATTTCTTCTTATCGCGTTTTCAACTACGAGCAAGGTTGGTATTTTCTTATACTCGTATCTACATACTGCACAGAAATATGTATGTGTATTGTTGGCAATTACTATAAATTTGTTTTTATTTTGGTCCGTTATCAAGCTACGGCCTGCTAACCAGCTGCGCTACGTATCCGGTGATTTTGCAATTCTCCATTCAGTTTATCGTTTTGATTCGCGGAAAGTGTTGCTGCTGTAGTAGTTGGTGTTGAAAAAATGTTCCGTTGGTGCTGGTGGGTTTAATAATTTGCTAAAATATATAAATTGTTCTTAAGTTCTAGCTGCTAAGTTCCTAAAAATTGCAAAACTCAAAACCTTTTAAATGTGAATTTCCTAAATCAAAAATGGAAAAGTGAATTAAATTATTTGTAGAAATTTGTTTAATGCCTAGAAAGTTGTGCTTAAACAAGGAGGCTTTGATTATTACACAGCAACGTCTGGGAATCTCGCACGATTTCAAGCTACGATGAGATTCCAATTTTTACCGAAACGGTATCGGTCTTCAAAATAGCATCCAATGTCATTTATGTTTATTTTTGTTTATTTTTAATAATTTTCAATTAAAGTACATTTCATTATCTAACAAAACCCATATAAACCCAAGTTTAAAAATTTGTACAAAACTAAAAAAAAAAATGCAACAGATTTTCATCCAAAATTTAAAACTTTTTTTTGAGAAGTGTTAGAATTTCTTTGCGTACACAGTTTTATAGCACATTAAATTTTGGTTTAATAATGTGCAAGTTTCAAGTGACTAAAAATTAAAAATTACCGTTGATTTTTTAGAATTTCTTTTGCCGCTGGTGTTGCGGTTTTCTCGCATATAAAAATAAATTCAGCCTTATCATGAGTTTTATTTTCCCTGATCCAGCTCACTCTTCACGTTTGGTTTTCATGTGTTTATTATAGGCGGATGAAAAATTTTCGGGTGAATTGTGTTTTTGGTAGAAAATGCGAAAAGAAATTCTAAAAAATCAACGGCAATTTTTAGTCACTTGAAAATCTCACATTATTCCATTAAAATTGATTGGGCTATAAAACTGCAAACTCAAAATAATTCTAACACTTCTGAGAAAAAAGTTTGAAAATAGGGTGAACTTTTTTGATTATTTTTTTTTTTCAGTTTTCTACAAAGTTTTAAATTTGGGTTTTTATGGGCTTTGTTAGATAATGAGCTGTATTTTAATTGAAAGTTCTTAACAATAAGTGAATAAACACAAGTGACAAATAATATGACTTTGAAATGGGGTGCTATTGATATGAACGATACTGTATATTCGGCATGAATATTTCCATGAACGGTATTGAACTTACATAAGAAGAAGATTAAAGTATTTAGCTATGGCCTTTTTTTTTAGCAATATTTCATGAATCAGTTTTTACAACCCTGCGTTACATATGGAGTATTCTCAAAAAATTGATATAATTCAGTTTGGTATCCGTCAATTTGTAACGTCTTAAAAAAAAATTGTGTTTGTTATTTCACAAAATTATGTGCAACGTATAACAAAAAATATATCCACTATTCGCAAGCAAAGTGACTAATGTGCCAGCTCAAACTTGAGACTTAATGGTGTTGAATAGCGACAGTGCATGCAATGGGCAATAAAAACAGCCACCCACGGCGACGACGTGCCACTAGCGTAGATACGCCGAATTCCAGTGCTTATCAGAGTAGGGAGTCATGCGATTGCAGTTGTAATCCAGATTGTCAAGTGACGCACCACAGAACACAAGAGCGCTGCACACAAAGGCGGCGGCGGCGATCCAGGTGCCGTGGCTGTCAACGAGGAGCTTCACCAATGGTAGACGAGCAAGGAACCTATGATGCACCACCAATGTGTCGTTCCCATACGAATGTCTGTTTGAGTCCATCGAAATGTCATCTGATAGCAACGCGTGTGATCATTTGCAAGAAGAGCAACAACGTCGACCGTTAAGCAAACATCACTTTGCCACGCAATGCAAGAAACAGTTATTTTGAAATTTTAGGTATTTATTTTTAATTTTTTTTTTAAATTTTTGTTATAATCCAAGCGTTGACACTTTCAGTGTCAAGCAAATATTTTCGTTGAAAAGAAAATTGAGAAAAAAGTGTAATCAAAATTGCTCCATTCGAAAGAAGTAAATTGTAAATTGAAAATTAAATAGTTTGTGTTACCATTGCAACACAGTAGCGGTGCGGCGCTGCGGCATAACACGCGATTGCAGGGCGCCTTCGTAGGCCGGTAAAAGTTTCGATGCGAACCAGTTGTTGCTGAAGAAAAAAAAAATGGGATCAGCTGGTAGTACACATCGTCGCGCACAGTATCGAACACACTCACCCGCCGCATGTCGGCACGATACACCGCCGAGGACACACGATGTGTCTAGAGATGTAAGCGAGCACAACATGGGACCGCGCATCGTTGTGCCTGGCGTAGATCGACCTGTAGCGTACGAAGTGCAGCGCCAACCGTCGGATAGAATAGATAGAGAATTTGGCGCACCTAGGACCACATCATCTACTATGCATTTTCGCTACGGCGCATCGGCAAGCACTTCTGCCCAACCTACCTCCTTCCACCTTCCACCGCCACCGGTACGCATCAAAGAAGCGTCGTGCAATTGTAGGGCTTGCAAAGAAAAGGATGAAGCATTGGCCGCTTATGCAGCAGCATCAACAGCCGCCACCACTACTTATCTACCAGCAACAACGGCGAGCATGCAAATGCGTATCGCCGCCGCCTCTACGCCCAGCAACAATGGTGTGACAAGAGCACTGCAACTGCAAGCCACTACGGTGTACGCGAGATCGCCACAGCGAATAACATCGAATCGCAGTGTAGTTGCGGCAAGTGGCGCGCCCAATTGGAGCGGACACATGGAGACTGTTGCTGAGCGGACTTTAGTAGGCTCGTCGTCGCCACGCATGCGCGAAGCTACATTTCTGCTGCAACCGCAACCGCAACCGCAAGCTGCTATACCTGCGCACGTATACTACGATAGTGGACCTGTACCAAGGTAAAGTGTTGAGCTGTGGGCAGCTTAGCCTTAGATATAGGCTAGGGTCCTGTTGACTACTATTTTGAAGATTTTATTGCGAGATACGCCTGCGCACACCGTTTTCTGTCGTGCAATAGGACACACGTACTCTAATCTTTAGATATACATACCTAGGTCGGCTAAGATCGGTACCACGATTAGAGTCAAAACCGCCAGTTCTGAAATCTTTCACACTGCTACCTGTTAAGAGAGTAAGTTGTAAATAGTTAGTTGCACTTAAGTTCCCGAATAGGCCCCAGATAGTAGTAAAGGATGATATGACTTGTGATTTAATAAATTAAAAAAAAAATAACGTTTAGGCTGGTACTGCGCCAAATAAAACAGGGCATGAGTACCAGATACTCATAAAATTTTGATGTGTAAACATCTGCGTCTCATACTATTACCGAGCTGGACCCGAACTAGGCCTGAAATAGTCCCAAACTGCTGCCGAACTAGTCCCGAAATGGGTCTCAAAAAGTCATGAACTAGCCCCGAACAGAGCCCTCACTGGTTTCGACCTAGTTCCGAAATGATCACTTACACTAATTCCCTAATGAAACTAAATAGGTGAAAGATAAGTAGAGATTAGAAGAACTCAGAGAAATGTACAGGAAGGAAGCTCCTCACATGTCTATTTGCGATTAAGAAGATCTAAACCTTTTTGTCGGCTTTAGAGGAGCGCTTCACAAATAAATTACTTAAAATCAAGACTAGGCCTTTTCCGAGCCGTTTGATACCACATCAAGTTTTAGACAGGCCCACTTTCTTCCACGATAATTTTTTAATCTTATAACTATTATAAGTCATAAAATCAGCTGCCTTTTTCAGCGCGGCTTTTTCAAAATTAAAGAAGGAGATGAAAGGAGATTGTCTGGCGTTGAACGGGGAACTTTTTTGTCTCCGGCTAGTACACGAAGGGATCTTGTATACTGGGACGCACTTCACTAGTAGTACTGTGACAGACTTCATAGATTTAGGGTCCAGTATGTACTAGAATAACTCTTGCTGCCAGGTACTCTTTGGGATCGGTAGCAGAGCTCTCTCTTGACAAACACAAATGGCTCTGTACAAATCTTTCACAGTTAATAATCTATTATAAAAAAATCTCGTGTTACGGTGTTTGTGGTCGAACTCCTCCGAAATGGCTCGACCATTTTTTTGTGTATATTTGGTAGGTATGAGAATCGGATGTAAAGTATATTTCATGCCGCTAAGTGAAGGGGGCGTGGCACCTCCCATACAAACCGTAACATTCACACTGCATAACTCTGGAAGTGTTTCTGGTAGATTACTGAAACTTGCTACGGACATATAAAAAAAATCAATCACATATTCATGAGAAAAAATTGGGGCTATTGGGAAAAGGGGCGTGGCACCTCCCATACAAACCGAATATTTCATACTGCATAACTCTGGAAGTGTTCATGATAGAGTACTAGAACTTAATACGGAGATATATAAAATCAATCGCGTACTCATGGAAAAAATTGATGTTTTTTGAAAAGAGGGTGTGGCATCTCCCATACAAACCAAATTTTTATACTGCATAACTCTGGAAGTGCTCTTGGTAGAGTAATTGAACCTGGTATGGTGATGTATGGAATGAATCTCATACTCTTAGAGAAAATTGAAGCGATTTGAAAAAGGACGTGGCGCTTTTCAAACATGCTGAAACGCTAAGTGGCGCGGGAGTCCAGGTTTTACTAAAATTCGTATTTGTGACCCAATGTCAAAAATTACAAAAAAAAAAACGCCGGGTGGCGCTGGAGTCGAGTTTTTACTAAAAATCATCAAGTGAGGAAAAGTGCCATGAATGTCCGATTACAGCGACGTCTTGTACCGCCAAGTATGTCGAACTCACGTATGCTCCGATTGACCCAATGGACGTGAATTGCCAATATTACTGTGCGTTAAAGCTTCATTCGGAGACAACACGATTGAGTTGTCCAGGGGTCTATCTCAAATGAGTACCGTTAAATCAATCACCAGAATCATTGCGCTCCTTTATAAGACATTTAAGGTATTTCGTCTAAAATAAGCCTTTTTATATAGGATTTCTGTAGAACAACGATACTGAGCCACCAACTATACTACATAGTTTCAAGGACAGATTCACCATCGAACCGGATAATTGTTGCCGCCGGGGAGTGAAGAGAAAAAAGTTCTTCAAATTTATTTCATTGTGCAGTTAATCGCGCTATGAAACGTCAGATCATTGGAGAATTTCAAAACCTTCTTCGCGAACATACACTTCCACTAGGTTATTTAAGACGGCAATGGAAATATGCCTTCTGACAATCACCAAACCGTAGTATTAGTAGATATGTTAATGCATCACTGGAAGTCATCTTGTTTTAGGTATCAGCCTAAACCAACTAACAGTTTAATTGCCAAATAAAAAGAAAAGAAGGATACAAAATGAGAAAATAGCAAAAGAGGAGAGAACAAACAAAAAAGTCTATGGGAAAGAAAAGTTATTTGCCACTATAAAAAGCTACTATTTCTAATTAAATTTATCAGTTAATAATAAAAAATTTTGCTTTTTTGCAGTGGGAGTGCTACTTCCGATTTTGCTTCAGATTTTCAGCAAGAATGCTTGGATGCGCACAACCGATTTCGAGCACAACATCAGAACTGTCCACCGCTGTCGCTTAGTAATGAACTGAGTCGTTATGCTCAACAATGGGCCAAGGTGAGTGCGACTTTTTGTAGTAAGAACGCTTGGTGTTAGATTGGGAGAGACAAATTAGGGGCCATCGGGTTTATGCATTATCGGAAATTGAAACTTAATTTATCCATAGAAATACAATGTTCCAAAATTATATGTATGGAGTTGGCTTCGACAAGCATATAATATAGAGGAACAGAAACGAAACTCATTCAATAGGTAAAAGGAGAGCCCAGTGGTGGAACCAGGAAATACATAACTATGTTCGGTAAAATGCTTTTTGGCAAGCATATATGAATGCCTAAAAAACTTTCAAGAAGTCCGTAAAACTAGCCCAAAGCACATCGTCTTGAAAGAATTTCTGGCGAGATATTGAGCAAATCTCTGAGGGATACCGATTACCGAAGGTTCTATTAAAACATCCGACTGACCAAAAGTTGCGAAATGCTAGACATATTCTTGAACAGCCATTGAGAAACTCGAAGCATAGAAGTATCCCTCAGGAAATGCCCCTCTCCGTTCTTCTCATCAACCTTACAGTAAATATAATTATTTTGTTACTGCAGAATACCGGCTGTCAAGTCAAAGTTTATGGTGACGAAATTAAGCGAACGTCTAGAGAATAGATGGTCCAGGGAAAGCAGACTTACCGTTGATCTTTTCAACACCGAAATGGTGGTTAAAAAAATTTAAATAAATTTCTATGCAAAATATTGTTTTAGTAAATAGAATAGGGCTGCCATTAGCAGAAATCCGATTAGGATTTATAAGAATTGCCGGAGCCGTAAACAACCTAAGCCCAAATCACGTCATCCGTTATCGAATGCTTACGCGTTTCTAATTTGAATGAAAAAAAAAAGTACAGCTGTTTACTATCCAATGAAATTTACATTGAAAAGGCGCACCCCTCATCGAGTGCCGTAATCTCAAAATGAATTTTCGAATCAAGTTTCATTCGTGATTGGGGCCCTGATTTGCCTCTTAGTTAGAATTGATTACAAGTTAGTCGTTTGTAATTTTTAATACACATTATAATAAAATCTCTCTACACTGCCACAGCACTTGGCTGGTACAGGCCGCCTGGAACATCGGCAAGTGCACACCTACGGTGAAAATTTGTATACATGTTTTGGCATGGAGGTTAATGGCTCAACGCCAGTACAACGTTGGTACGACGAGATACGCTACTATGATTTTTCCAAACCAAATTATAAGCCCGGAACAGGACATTTCACACAAGTGGTGTGGCGGGAGAGTCGACAGTTGGGCGTGGGCATTGCGACAAGGTGAGTCAGGGGTAATTTCTAACTATAAATATAATTCATCCAACATTTATTTTCTATACTTTCAGAGGCGATACTACGTATGTTGTTTGTAATTACAATCCACCTGGTAATATAATTGGCAGTTTTGATAGTATGGTGCCACCGAAGAAGTGAACGCAGGGTAATCAGCGCTCAAAATGTGATAGATTTTAATATATGCAAGTATTCTGAAAGTTTAATTTACTTATACATATAAATAGGAGGGCGGCAGTATGAGTGTATTTTAAATGAAAAAATTAATAATTTTCCATCTAAATTACAGTCATACTATTTTCTTTTACTGCAACTCCTCAGATATATAAATATTTTGTGACTTTTGAAAAACATATTCCAAAGAGATATTTTTAAGTTGCAATACTAGAATATTAGAATTTACAATGTACTTTTTTTTACACGAAATCTTTTGTATAAAATATAATGACACCAAATTTGGCACTTTTTATTTCGCGCAATTTTCACGTAAATTATGAAATTTTTCCGAAATATTTCTTTGAATATAACACCGGGTGACAAAAAACAAAATAGTTGGAAATACACAAAGCAATCAATATACTCACGAAACTGTGAACCACAAAAAAAAAAACAAAAAAAAAATATAGTAAATCCGCGTTTTTAGTTTTTCGCTCTGACGTCAGGATTTTTTTAAAAGGGCTTTGTAGTCTCGGAGATATGATTAATTCCAAAAATTATTTAAAAAATCCACTGCCATGTAAACTCTGCCAGTATGGGTATCAAATAAAAGATAAAATTCTGTAGAATTTCAGAAAATTAAAATTTTTTGGTTCACTGGGACGAATAGGTATTTAAAATGCCATTTTATTTAATTTAATTGTTTTGAATTAATAAAGTTTGAATTAGGATATTCGAGGCTGTGGTCGAGTGTGCATTAGCCTTTAACATATAATTTTTCAAAAACAATTATTTGAAAATTTCAAGGACAAAAGCATTTTCAATACCTACTCGTCCTTTTGCACAAAAAAGTTTAATCTGCTTTCATTCTCCAAATTTTCTTTTTAATTTGATACCATACTGTTTTTTTTTTTAAATAATTTTTTGAAGTAATCATATTTTTCAAATTTTAAAGTCCTTTAAAAAAAATCCTATATGTTAACTTTCCTGTCGCTCGGTCTCTGAGTCTAAATTAGTTTTGCAAGGCAATGCCGAAACAATTTTTTCTTTCGACAGAACCTAAGGGTCGCTTTTTTACATTAATCCGTGACGCCCAAATTCGGCTATTAACTTTTTTTTTAAATATTTCTACTGGAACAATCGAAATAACTTCTTAGCAAAACTTTAATGATTTTTGGTGAGCTTTAATTTACTGACCTTAGGGTGGCACATTAGGATGGTAAGAACTGCGATGAGCTGGGTAAGTACTAGAACGGGGCATTTGAGGTCAATGAATGTTGTAACAAAAACAAAAAATGTTCTCCTCGACACAAGAACATCGACATATCATGCCTTGAAATTCGACTGTGTATGCTGAAGATATGATGAAAAAGTGTAAAAAGGCGAACCCCACGTTCGGCCCAAAAAAAAAAAAAAAAATTATGTTTCGAAATTGCTTTGCAAAATTACTTCAGACTCAGGGGTGTTATGAAACGGTCTAATGTATACTTGTATTTGTATAACTCCCCTCGTGTTAGGCAACATGACACTTGAATTTGTGTATTCCATTTGAATAAAAGCTGTTGGTCCCTGTTTGCCCATAAATACTTATGTACAAGCTACACACACACTTAACTGATAAGGCATAAGTCTTACGAAATGCTTAAGTTCATCAGCTAAGCGTAGTTTCGGTGTGACCAAAAGTTATATTTTATACAATTTATACAGTTGCAAGTGTCTACGTTTGTCAACTGAGTTGGCGACCCAAGGCAAGTATGCATGTATGTATGTATGTATATTATAAATTTATTTAAGCGTAACTCAGCGCTGTGTCCTGTAGCTAATTTGCATTTTAATTGACCCACAATATCGTAATGGTCGAAAACTTCTTGGACACTTTAAAGGCAGTCAGCATGAAAACTGTTATTTTAACATTCGCTTAGACTGTTTGACTTGCAGCAGAAGTTAAGTAGCGAGGATTTAAGTTTGTCCAAGCAGTGCTATAGGCTTGGAGACTTGGCTTAGCAACTAAGACCTTGGTGAATGTTCTTCTACTCTTAAGTTCTTAATTTTTCGTGAAATTATTTATTTTATTTATATTTTCTTCTTTATATTGAACTACAGTCATGAATTTGCTTACCTAAGTTTATAAATTTCATAACTTCTCCTGCAGTTCGGAAATCCTGAAGCAAGTCTTGTGATATTTTTATGACAGAGGGCGGATTTGCTAATGCTAATCGGGGATTGACTGATGGAATCGTCATGTTCTGGAAGTAGGGGGTTTTCTACTAAATTATTCATTAATTAAGTACATAAAATAGAGCCCATATTTCCTGATGATGTGGAATAATTTTTATTCTAATATAAGGAGAAAAGTTGAAATAACATTTTTTCGGTAAAAAAAATTACATAACCTTAACTTAACTTTGAGTCGTCGATTAGGAATCTGTATTCAGTTTCTCTAGATTTGGTTATTTTACCAAATACCTATATATGTATATTTTCATTTTTATAAAGAAAAAATCGAATTTTAACACCAGAAAAATTAAAAAAAAATTGGAGATTTTTTGTATTATTTTCATTTATATTAAAACCTTTTCTTTAAAAACTACTAACTACTAACGAAGAAAATCGTTTGATAATTAAAAAGTTGTGAATGGTCAAATGAAAATGCGTAATGAGTTTTTTGGATGAAATATGAGCAGGAAAGAATGTTACTCATACGCCATGTATTTACAGGGTCATACTCGTAAATAGTCGTACATGGCGTGAGAGTAACGTTTTCTATGTTAAATTTTGATTTTTTCTTATTCACAATGCAAAATTAAAAATTAAAATATCATGGGAAAATGAATTGATCTCTAAAAACGGTATACAGATCCATGACATACGACTAAGGATGGCAAAAAATAAAATAATCGATTAATCAATCATATGATTAATCACAAGCCAAAAAAAATGAATTGCAATTAACTGCAATTATTGAGAAATAATCGATTAATCGAATTTTTAACGGCACTTTTTACAGCCAGTGTTAACAAAAATGCTTTTCCACAAAAAAATTTATAATTTTCTTGTTAATTAGCCTTAAATAAAATAAAAGCAGTAATTTTAGCGGCGAAATTTATTCATTATTTAACCAAGTTTGGAAAAATCAAATTTTGATATTATAATTAAATTAATCGCTAACAAGTGTTTCAGATCGCCTGTAATTATATGACCTCAAAAAGTTTTTTCTATACAAATATGAACTTAATTCCTAGTATAGTATATACTTGCGTCTGTATGTATTTATAAATGATATGTGAAAAAATATTTCCAGAGTTATTTTTTATGACGCGCAAACGATTTTATTATATATTGTTTAGTTATATACTCGTTTACTGTTATTATTTGCTTATTTCGCATATTTCGTACCTAAACATGTCTGCGCTCCTAAACGGATTGGTGCATTTTTATTTTTTTTTGTCTGACTAGGCAGGAAATGTTTGCCATATTGAAAATTTCGAACAAATTGCGTTAAAAATGATTTTTTGCTGTGACAACGGTAATAACAACAAAAAAAGTTAGAGGTAAAAGTGAATGCAACAACACACATGAGCATTTATCCATATTTACATATACAAATGTATGCAAAATATTTTTACATTTATAACACACATATTTATATACATACATACATACGTATAAACATCGTTAGTTCTGCAGTTCTGAAAATGCGTCTGGCCGAAAATATTTCGTAAAGCTGGGATAAATTCAATTTTACAGACAGACTGCGACAAACAGACAGCCCAGTTAAATGTGCAATGGCGCACAATCACCTCGAACGCGCATGCATACATTCGTATAAATTGAGTTACCTTTGCGTGCGTGCGTGTGTGTGGTTGGCAGCTAACAGCCGTTAAGTTGTTAGGGGTTTTTCGACACAGCCTCATACATACTATGTACTATACACATGTATATGTATACTATGTATTTTACTCCTACACAAATATACAGTGACTCAAACAAATCACTACGTGTTGATTTTTTTTTTGGAATATTTGTCATGTTTTTCGAGCTAAATTTTTTGTTTGTGATTTTTCCATAAACAATACCGTCCAAACATTAATCAGAACCATATAAATCCCTTAATAAAAAATTTAGGAAAATTCAAAAAATTTTCATCAAAATTTCTACTTTTTACTCTGAATCTTCAGAACATTTTTGGGTATGCAGTTTTATAACCCATACGAAGTGCTAAAAAATCCCGTTGTTATTTGAGAATTGTTTTTTTTTTGGGGACGGATTTTTGCACTTTTTCCATATAAGCATGAATTTCGTATGAAATAAGACGCGGGAGACCGTTAGCAAAAAAAAAATTCAAAAAACTAACGCCAGGTTTAATAAATTGCACTTTTTATATAAAAAACCGAAAAAGCAGTCTCCAAAAAAAAATTCTCAAAAATCATCGCGGCTTTTTAGCCGGTTGAGACTTGTACTTTATTAGACTAGAATTTTATTGGCTGTGAAACTACATATCCAAAAATTTTCTAAAGATTTTTTATTAAAAAGTTGATTTAAAAGTTTTGATGAAAATTTTTGAATTTTTCTAAATTTTGTATAAAACTTGAAATAGTGATTTATATGGTTCTGATTAATGTTTGGACGGTATTTTTATAGAAAAATAACAAACAAAAAATTTTGCTCGAAAAACATGACGAATATTCCAAAAAAAAATCAACACGTAGTCATTTGATATGTTTTTGGGTAAAGCATGGAAAATATTTTTATAGCGAGTTAACAAAAAAAAATGTAGCTGGAAAAACATAACGAATATGACAAAAAAAATTCAACAAATGGTCCTTTGTTTGAGTCACTGTACATTTTGTCACATGTGTATGTGTGTGTGCTTGCGCCATCAGACACAAATTTGTAAATTTGCTGGCATTTGATTTGCCCAAATCGACTTTTACACATGTGCTTTTGTCGGAAAAATCACTTTTATGCATTTTTGATTTCATGTCTTCTATCTTCGAAGTTGTCGTTTTGAATTTACATACATATGTACATACATACATTTATATATATTTTTTTCCTATTTTCTGTTTGCATATCCGCAATCAAATTTTATGGTTGCAAGACACCAAGCACAAGCAGGTGTTAAATTGTAAATTGGAGTGATTGACATTAATGTTTATTTTTGTATGGACGTGTATGGGTGTTTGTGGTAGTGTCAGAGTTGAATTAGTTTACATTTTAAAATACTTGATTGCCTAATAAAATTTATTTGTTAACTTGTTGTGCTAACAATCGTACAAATTTACAAATGTATTTATTTGTATTTGCATAGAAATTTAAAAGTTAAGTTAAGTAAGTTATTTAGTGCTCA